TTTGCTTGTTTGCTTAGTGATTTTTGTGACAACTTGTATTATAGCCAATATTTGGCTATGGAACTTTAACGCTTGAAGTTGAACACAAACGGGAAAGAGTCCCTTGTCCCCCTCGCAGGGTGCAGGGCGTTTGACAGAGGGTGTGGCTTCCTTCTTTAGTGCCCGGCTGCTCAAACCTCTAGAGGAGCATACAGATGGGCAGGCTGTGGGGCTGCGATCCCACAGCAGTGTCTAGAAGGGTGAACATTTACAGCTCCTGAAGCCCCAGTGGGCGTGTGCTACAGGGTGCTCTTTTAGTTTAGCCGTCCATAGACGGCTTGTATTAACCAGCTCAGTTAGTCCCTCTACCTTGTGGCAAGTACAGAGGGCTTTCTGCATCCTGGGGTTCTTGCCTTGGTGTACCGGAAGAATTGGATCACACGTGGGCTTGGAGAAAGAGTGCAAGGTTTTTTTGAGTGGAAGTAGCTCTCAGCAAATGGGGGAGACAGAAGGGCGATGGATTTCCCCTGGAGTCAGGCCACTTGAGCCCGGGCTGTCCTCCGATTGCCCCTGCCAAACTCCACGCCGTTCTGCCTGTTGGTGGCCTGCCGGCGTGCCAGTGCTGCTGATGTGATCCTCTCCAGGTCCAGCCCCCGGTGCGTTCCTCCGCTGATGTGTTCATCTCCACGATCAGCCGCGCCTGTCTCTGCCTTGCTAGGGTCTCCGGTTTTTATAGGCACAGGATGGGGCACGGCAGGCCAGGGTGGTCTAGGGAAATGCCACATTTGGGCAGGAAAGCGAAAATGCCTGTCCTCACCTAGGTCCCTGGGGGTAGATCCCTCGCTAGGGACCACGCCCTCCTCTACCCAGCACTTCACTTCCCCACCTCGATATCATTTAAAGGGACCACGCTCTTCCCTTCCCAGAGCGTCAGTATCAATTACATTTCTCAGATGTGCCCTTACCTTTAAGATCTTTCCTTGGTTTCATTTTGGAATTAAGGCTCTTTGTAGTCCCAGACATCCAATATCCACAATGCGTGGGAGTTCTAAGCAGTTTGTTCCCGAAATTATACCCCAGACATCGCTGAGGCATAATTACTTTCCATCAGCAAGACATACCCACGCTCTCATGTTTCCTCCGCCCCAGCGTTTGGCACCAGCTACCTCTCAGCCCAGGGTTGTCCCAAAGAAGAATGTTGTAAAATACCCCAATCTAGGTGCCGTTGACCCCATAGATGGCTCTGCAGGTGAGGTAGGTGGCATCAAGGGCAGCTTAGAGGGGCTTAGTGACTAGCAGGGGACATTAAAAGTCATGAATTATTGAGTTGTGGAAATTTGAATGTTAACACCTTATCAGATACACGGTTTGCAAATATTTTCTTCCATTCTATAGGTTGTCTTCTCATCTCATTGTTTCCTTTGCTGTGTAGAAGCTTCTTAGTTTGATGTAGTCCCAATTGTTTATTTATTTTTTTTTTCTTTGAGACAGTATTTTGCTCTGTCACCCAGACTGGAGTGCATGTGATTTCAGCCCACTGCAACCTCAGCCTTCTGGGCTTAAGCAATCCTCCTACCTCAGCCTCCCAAGTAAGTGGGACTACAGGTGCATGACGCCCTGCCCAGCTAATTTTGAGGGGTATTTTTTTGTAGAGATGGGTTTTGCCGTGTTGCCCAGGCTGGTCTCAAACTCCTATGCTCAAGCAATCCACCCACCTTAGCCTTCCAAAATGCTAGGATTACAAGCATGAGCCATGGTGCCAGGTCTATTTTTGCTTCTGTTGCCTTTGCTTTTGGTGTCATATCCTAAAAATCAGGGAAGAAATATTCAGTTACAAGGAAAGTTCTAGGGATCTAATATACAGTGCTCCGACTATAGTTAATAGTACAGTATTGTTTACTTGAAATTTGCTAAGAAAGTAGATCTTTAGCCGGGCGCGGTGGCTCAAGCCTGTAATCCCAGCACTTTGGGAGGCCGAGGCGGGTGGATCACAAGGTCGAGAGATCGAGACCATCCTGGTCAACAAGGTGAAACCCCCGTCTCTACTAAAAATACAAAAAATTAGCTGGGCATGGTGGTGTGTGCCTGTAATCCCAGCTACTCAGGAGGCTGAGGCAGGAGAATTGCTTGAACCCAGGAGGCGGAGGTTGCGGTGAGCCGAGATCGCGCCATTGCACTCCAGCCTGGGTAACAAGAGCGAAACTCCGTCTCCCAAAAAAAAAAAAAAAAAAAAAAGAAAGTAGATCTTTGACATTTTGGGCTGGATGAAAAAATAACAGTTGATCTGAAGTGTACACACACACACACACACAGAGGCAGTGTGATGATGGATGTGTTCATGTGATGTGGTAATCATTTCGCAATGTATGTGTGAAATGTACATATATAACAATTATCAGGTTGTACATCTTGAATATATGTCATTTTTATTTGTCAATTATATCACAATAAAACTGAAAAATAATTAATTTTTAAATGAAAAAATAATATTCATGCTTATGGCTTATGAGCTAATCAGTCCAGGTTTAAAACTCCACTAAGAAAAATTTGTTGAGCCAGGCACGGTGGCTCATGCCTGTAATCCCAGCACTTGGGAGTCTGAGGCGGGTGGATCGTGAGGTCATGAGGTCAGGCGTTCGAGACCAACCTAACCAACATGGTGAAACCCGGTATCTACTTTAAAGTACAAAAATTGGCCAGGCATGGTGGTGCACATCTGTAATCCCAGCTACTTGGTAGGCTAAGGCAGGAGAATTGCTTGAACCCAGGAGGCAGAGGTTGCAGTGAGCCAAGAGCACACCATTGCACTCCAGCCTGGGCAACAGAGCAAGAGCAAGACTCTGTCTCAAAAAAACATATATATATATATATATATATTATATATATATATAGTCTACTCTAATGCAAGAACAATTAAATCAGGGTTAGCAAAACACTGATACATAAAAATCCATATTATATTCTGCATTAAGCCAAAACATGTTCAGATTTCAGTTTTTCCTAAAGTTTAAACTTAACACTTAAATTCCAACTTATGGTTGCTGCTTTAAAAAAGTCTCATCAAAATTATGATAAGCTACTCTTTGGCCAATGCATAGCATGGTCATATTTATCATCCATCCTGGGACATTTTGAGAGTAAAAGGGGATTCTGTTAATAATTACATATAACCACAGAATAAAGTGGAAGCATCCCAAGCAAACCAGGACTTATGGTCCCTACCAGTGGGTCCACCTACCATTTTAAAACTTCTAAAGTTAACTTATATACTTATAAAGCATATACTTATAATTTATTATTTACATAAAGTTAACTTACTTATATAATGTATATACTTAAACCATAAGTCACAATTTCTATTCTGCATTTCTTCTTTTCTTCTTTCTGCCCTATATGATCTGCAGAAAATTTTGCATAGTTTTAAAAGGAAAATAGCAGTGTCAATTTTACTCAAGTTCAATTTTCAGCAGTGTTTTCTTTCATTTAAACATTTCAGCAACCTACTCAAATGGCTTCAAAACTTCACAGTGAGGTCTTGTACTCACAGCAAACTCCATTCGGTAGTAACTTCATTACCTAAAATAGACAATACCAAATTACTTCATAAAATCTGTTTCCATAAAACAAGCCAAGAACTGCCAGCACCTTTGGCAGAAGGCTATTAGAATTTTTTGGGTGATTTTAGGCACTGTAACTCCTACAAGGCTTACCACCTTTTGGGGAGTCTTGGTTGGACCCCAAATGAACCATTTATCTTCAGTCTATATCACCTACATCTACATGATGAGCTGTACAAAAGCCTCACTACTTTGGAGGGTAACTGCCTGCTCATCTGTTTCACCCAACTTAATGCAGCAACTGAAAAGCTATCTTTGAATTAAAAACTCTAAATACGGGAAATCAAAACAAACTCAAACGGAACTGTGATGTATCCAAACTTTATTTTTGTCCCTCTCTCCCCACTTCCCCACCTCTCTCTCTCTCTCTCTACTTATATATGCATTGTTTACAGAAGCATCATTTAAAATCTTGTCTTGGTTGTTACCTTCTTCTAGAGGCCAAATTACAATCGTCACTATTTATGCTCCATGGCCAGATATCTTAGAAAGATACTGTCAAATCACATATTAAATTTTATGAACCAATGAAGTAATTTCTGTGTATTAGTCAGGGTTCTCCAAAGGGGTGTGCGGGTGTGGGTGTGTGTAGAGGGAGGTGGGGGTGTGAGGAGACAGAGCTTAAGGAACTAGTTCACATAATTCATGTTGTAGTTCAAGTTCAAAGGCAGTCTTGAGGCAGAATTCCTTCTGCTCTGGGATCTGAGTCTTTTTTCTTAAGGCCTTCAACTGATTGGGTGAGGCCCACCCACATTATGGAGGGCAGTCTGCTCAAAGTCTACTGATTTAAATGTTAATCTCAACTTAAAAAAAAAACAACAGATTCACAGTAACATCTAGACTAATGTTTAACTAAATATCTGCGCTCCATGGCCTAGCCAAGTTGACATATAAAATTACATATGCTATCTCCCTCAAACCATAGGGGGAAACTTGGGCCCTAGTCTAAAAATCCCACAACTGGGGAGCCGTGAGGGGATGCTTCCAACAGAAGCAAGCCCAGGTGCCCAGCCCCTGCAGTGTGGGTTGGCCATTTTACAAATGAGAAAACCAAGTCCTAGAGAAAGGCTCACTGAGCTGGTCCCAGGGTCCGAGAGCCAGGAATGGAGTCAGAGTGGAAATCCAGCATCACTGAGTAGAGGTTCCAAGCTCTTTCTTCCTCAACTCCTGGCTCTCCAGAGCCCCTCAACTGGGAGCTTCTAAGACAACCTTCTTATTTCATGTCCTATTTTGGACAAACAGCCAGCCCCAAGCATGTTCAAACCATAAACTGGAGGAAAAAATTAATTTATCCAGTGGGTGGTCCTTCCTGTTCCTGCCCCCGACTTTACAGCCACCCTCTCACAACACAGAGCTCCTGCACCCAGCAGTCACACACAGACCCATCCACGGAGGGGTGGGCAACTCTTTGAAAAGTGCTTTATTTCAAGACGATCTAAGTCAGGTGCATTAAAACATAGCAAATTGTTACAAAAATGTATGGCTCACTAATGAGGCCTTGTCAGATTATGTTTAGATGAGTAAACACATCAGTGTCTAAGTTCAAAACCAAACATTGAACCAGGTCATGTACCATTGCTGAAAGGCAAGTTATAATTAAGAAAAGAATACTTCACAAGGCTAAAACAATTGGGGAAACCTTCAGAAACACTAGCAATTACACACCAGAAACATCAGCCTGGAAACAGTTCTGTGATCTACAGGGAAGACTCCAAAGGTAAACTGAGGCTTTCCCGTCATAGCTCGTGCATCTTGTGCTCAGTTAAACACAGTTAAAATGCAAGGGGCACTTAAACCCCACCCCTTGTAATAGGGTGAAGCTTTCTATTAAATCTGAACAAAGGGGTGCCACATTCATTTTTATTTTTACATCGCTAGGAAATCATCTCATCTCATCTGACTGAAGCAAGACTTTGTGCAAAACAACGTAAGTGGAAACATGAAAATGTGTGCTGCTTTATGAAGGATGTTCATAGTGATATCCTGTCTCCCATCTCATTCTCCACGTCATGGTTTGGCCACTGTAAGACACCGAAATTGCCTCGTCCATGTAGAAGTTTCTCTCTTGGCAATGTATCTATGACACCACATTCTTTGTGCTATAGCGCTTTGACATAAAATGTAGTTTTTGGTTGATATGGTGGTGGTGCTGGTGTTTTTCTAAAAGTAACTTCCCTTTTCTTAAGAGAGCTTCTTGCCCTTCTGTGGTCAATTTCTTTCTCCACCCTCCTGACACTTTGAAATAACCAGTCAACTCCACAGAATTCTTATCGAGACTTTTCTGCATGGAGAACAGATTGGGAGAGGCCATTCTATGCCACCGATGTTAGGAGAAAATGTCTTTACCTAGAGGTTTCTAGGAGAGAGTACTGTTTTCTTTTGGTGAGGGAAGAAAACATGGTGAAAATATTTCTCCTTGAAGCATCAGCATGTCTCAGGCCAAAATCTTGATGCGAGGCCCCAGCATTTTTTTTGCAGATGGGTGGCTAATATCCTGAAATCCTCTTGCCTCATCAACTTCAAGTTGAAGTCCATCCAGCCTGGAGACCAGTGTGTGCGCTCTTCACCTACACATACAGGCAAGACTTCCTTTGTGCTTTTCAGCATCTCCCCAAGATAACCGGCCCCTGCCCCGGCCCCCACCATTTAAGTCATCACCTTCCCTCTCATGTGATCACAGAGAATGTAACCTTGTGCTTAATTCCACCATCCCAGCCAGATGGGCTCAGGTTTTTCCTTCACTTGATCACATTGTAACATAATCCTCTGGGAGAAAAAGAAATAAATAACAACCCTATAAACTGGTCTTTTGTTCTTTATGTAATTTCAGGTTCCTTGCACACAATTACATAAACTCCCACAAATCTGTTGAAGAGTTTAAAACTGCAAGACCATGTGATATCAGTGAGAAAATCTGTTCCACGCTGTGGCAAAGCATCTCTGTTTCAACTGCTGCTACTTCAAAGGATCTTTCCAAAATTCCTCATCAGGTTCTTAGGATGTGAGAAATGACCTCTAAAAAGGGCAGGACAGAATCGGAAAGTGTGGTCTGCATCACATGAAGTGTGCTGTGTAAGATGGGAGCTCCTCTTTCACTTCCACCTCCTGACCTCCCATCTTTAAAAAGGCGGATCTGCCTTAATATTGCTCCCTTGGAAAGTGACCTGGCCAACTAAACATGTTGCACTATTTCCATATTTAACACTATTGTAGTGCTAGTGCAAATCAGAGAACTCTTCTAAACCAGAAATGGCTGTCCAATAACAGTTAGTGGTTAGTAGTTTGCTCTGTGGAAATTCTTCTCCCAAGTCCTCCAAGGAGAATTACTGGAGCCAACTAAGGCTTTGAACATGCAAGATAAAAATTACTAGAAGAGAAGTTCTCCAAATCATTTTCTCAAATGCAAAACTCAGGAAGTGTTTGCATTCACAGAACGGTTCTTTCCCATCTGTAACAAAGGAAGCCTCTCCTGGTGCCCATTCCTTGTCTTCCTACACCAATTCCGTACAGTTTGCAGAAGCCCTTCTGGGTTTCCACTCCATGCCCCACAGGGCTGGTGCTGCTGACCCTATGGAGGAAGGAGGCTTGCTATAACACCCAGGACAAAATGCCAGGGGCAGCATGCCATCTTTTTGCAGGCTACATTGAGACCACAGCTTTGAGTCTTTCAAAGATGCCGTAGGTATGAATGGGGCAAGAGGGTGCCTGGGGTAGAAACATCTCCACCAAAAAGGTCCACCTTCCTTTGGAGACACCAACCAGGGTCTACCCTTTCCTCAACTGCCCAGCTCTGCAAACCTTCTTTGGAGAGAAGGTGGAGAAGAGATGGGCAGTATCTTACCCCAGCTAGGCTCAGAGATGTCAGAGACACCCACTCTTAGAAGCTCCTGGTCTTGTTTGGTTGATGTCTACAGCCAGGCACCCAGGTCCAAGCATCTGTCTACCTTCTCAAACTGTATCAGCTGCACTGATGCCCAGCTGCCTGGCAAGCGTCCTGATGGGAGTCCCAGACTGTTCTTGCCCTTTCCCCGCATTGGGATTGACTCTAAAGATCACCTAGGTGGCTGCTCAGAGAAGCTAAGAAAGAAGCTCCATCCTCCCCATGCATCTTCACCAGGTGGCCTAAAGAGCTTCCCCGAACCCTATACTCAGTCAGTACCAAGAGAGGCTTCATTCTTAGAATGCATTTCCACATGCAAGGTGAGGGCAACTTGCAAGAACCCAGCGGTTAGAAAGAACAGTCTTGACTGCAAGCATGGCCCCCGCTTCAAGTGCAGGAAGACCCTTGATGACGTGAAGATGGGCTGGGTTCAGGCACCTGTCATTTCTGCAGGTAGCCTCGACACTACCCTTCAGCCTAAAACTTCCTGGCCACACTAGCTGGTCAGCCCCGTGTGCACACCAGTGAGATCTTTGTTTCTTGAGACATTTCATTCCACTCAAAGAAGCTCCAGAGAGATGGGTTGACAGCTGGGTACAGAGAAACACACAGGATCCTCTCTCTCTCCTAGAGGTAGCCATGGAGGTGAGGATGGAGGCAGAATCTACTTTTTATAGGTTTCCACGTAGAACATCACATACATCTTTGTCATTTAAAACAATCAAAGTTTCCAGTGTAAAAACATGGGGGCTTACTGCGTCTACCCCACAGATGATTTATCTTTTTATTTCCATCAGACTTCCCTCAAGATTATGTGGCTGTTATTTTGTTAATTTCCAAGGCTCTCACATTTACTGATCCTTGCAGGAATACAGGGAGAATTTCTACCAACATATAAACAATCCAAATGGTGAACCTGGAGAACCCTCTTCCCTTTCTAAACACAGGCAGACATGTGGCTGCTCCGTGGCACTTGAGAGGGGAAATCTTTCCTTCAACCTAAAAACCCCTCAGATCATGGTTCCTCTGATTTTCTGGCCCATAAGCAGCACATTTGCCAGGCTCACGGCTCTTGTGCTGGTTGCCTGGAATTTAATTACATGTGAAAGTATCAGGTAGGCACATGGATACGTACCATGTGTGCACACACATGCACACACACACATTTTGGGTCTTCCTTATAACCAAAATCAAAAGTCTTGTGAGTGGAAGAAGGGAGAGCAGGGATCCAGGGATGGGGAGCTGTCTGCTGACTTCTACATCCAGCTCCTGGTAGCAAATGATGGCTTGGCCGGAGCTGGGGAGGTTTGAGTCTAAATGTTTCCATGAAAAGAAAGTGCCCAGCTTCCAGGGGTTCTTATGGCAATGGCAGCTCCTGGCGTGCCCAGATCCCCTCGTTCTCGTGGCTCAGATTGTTGCTGGGGTCTCGGCTATCTCCTCTAGCCTCTGCCGAATCATCAGCCGGAGCACGGTGTACCTGGAGACAAGAAACAGGCTCAGGTGGCGAGCAGCCAGCAACGCACACTTCCCCAGGACCTTCCCGGCCACCCGGGTAACACCAAGGTCACAGCCGGTACCAGTGCAGTCAAGTGCTCTGCTCCTTTGCTTCCGTTACTGACCCCTGCCCCTCTTTAGCTACTTTGTTGCTTATGTTCATTCCTACAACACAATGAGAGAAAATAAAGAGGCCAAATCCAAATTAGATTATTTTCCTATGGTTAGAACATCTGGTCAAAAAAAAAAAAAAGGTAAAAAAATAACAACAGCAATAATAAGCATTCTACGAATTCAGTGGGTTTGCTTACTATGTCCAAGACACTATGCATAGTACTTCATATGCACAGTAGCTCATGAACCCTCACCTAGGCTAGATGATATAAAATTGCTAATAGTTGACCCTCTTGGGGGGGGGGGGTCCCACAAAAATGGCAACTCCATATAGTCCAACCCTGTATCAGAACCTGCATTTTGCAGAAGAGGCCATAGCAGCTACCAGGCATGGAGGTCCATGGCTTGGGAGCAGTTCAGTTTTCCCATGACTTCCCTCAGCTATGGCACTGCAGATACATGAGTGGGCACTGTCATCCAGGGATAAATAGACATATTCCTTATGTTCAGGCCTTTGTGCTGCACAGTAAAAGCTATTTTTAAAGTTTCAGACAGAGTTGGCCGGGCGCAGTGGCTCACACCTGTAATCCCAGCACTTTGGGAGGCCGAGGCGAGTGGATCACTTGAGGTCAGGAGTTCAAGACCAGCCTGGCCAAATGGCAAAATCCCATCTCTACTAAAAATACAAAAAAAAAATAGCTAGGTTTGGTGGCACATGCCTGTAATCACAGCTACTGGGGAGGCTGAGGTGGGAGAGTCACTTGAGTCTGGGGGTGGAAGTTGCAATGAGCAGAGATCGTGTTACTGCACTCCAGCCTGGACGACAGAGCGAGACTCCATATAAAAAAAAAAGTTTAGGACATAGTAAGTGTTCAGTAAATGTTATCAGACTAGTTATGATCATCGATACAGTAAATCCAGCATTGGCTGTATTTTCCAGTGGCAACCATGAATCACTTATTCAACCACATCCATGAAAGGCAATCTCTTTTATGACTACACATGGCAAATAAATCACAAAATCCTCCCCAGAAAGCAGCTTTGTTTTTCAATCAAAATGCAATTTCCAGAAGAGAAATGTTATAAAGGGAGGAAAGGGGAGAAGAAAGGATTTTAGAGGTCAGTAGGGCAGGGTACTTCCAGTGTTAAGACAGCCTTCCTGAAATCTCTGGAACCTCCGGGTCTTGGTTAGCACTCCTTGCCCTCACCCCTCAGGCAAGCGGCGATAACACTCGGCCCAGGGACTGCACTACCCCTTGAAGTTACCCCAGACTCTGCCCAAGTCTTTGTAAATAATCCCTCCATCAAACACCCCTCCAAGACCCTCATCGGAATGAGCATCTATCTCCTGCTGGCAGCCTGATCATATACTTAAGAAACCAGAGCACAGTCACCTCCCCTACGTCTGAATCTAGACCCCAAAGAAATTTTAAACCAACACCTTTGCAGAGTATTTCCATAAGAGGGAGACAAAAGACACTTTGATGACACAAGAAGTAGAGAGATGAACATGACACTGTCATGCCCCCACTTGAAATCCAGATTTGTCAATGGGCAGCCCCCCCCCCACCGCGAAGAAAGCCCAGAGACCCAGGCCCGTGCAGCAGCTCAGCACAGTCCCTGCGAGGACCTAACAGAGGTCCCTCTGTTGAGGTCCAGGAGAAGTGCACCCAGGGCCCCAGAGGCCACGCTTACTTGCGCATCAGCTTCTTTACTTCCCGATCTTCTTCCTCCTGGAGCTTCTGAATGAAGCTTTTAAGTACCGGCATCTCAAACTTTATATACTGGGCCACCTGGGGAGAAAGAAGCTAGTCAGGATGCATGCCCTTCCCAGCATCACTACAGCTCCTTTCAGGGCCATCCTTATACAAGGCACAAAGCCTTGGAAAGTCTATTTTTTTTTTCTTTTTCTTTTCCATGATTTCCTTAAAGGCAGGAGCCAAGTCTCATTCCTCTCCAGGCTGGGAAGGAGTCTGTGATGGTCGCTTCACTTATGTGACACCATCTCATAACTTCTCATTTTTCATGTAATGCTTTCAGTTCACGATGAAGTGACACCAAACATATAAAAGCACTTTCTCTTGATACAGGAATGCAGAGAAAGAACTGAACCCATTATGTTTAATAAACCCCTTTGTTCTGCCCTAAGAGAATGGAAAGAACCAGGGTTCAGAATGACGAATTGGGTCTCAAGGCTCAAACAAGCATCCAAATATGAACTTGCTTTTGGAGAGGCTGTGGGTGCCTCTGGGGTGAGTTAAAGTTTAAAAAGGGCAGCAGGCATGGCGGCTCACACCTGTAATCCCAGTACTTTGGTAGGCTGAGGCCAGTGGATCACTTGAGGTCAAGAGTTTAAGACTGGCCTGGCCAACATGGTGAAATCCTGTCTCCACTAAAAATACAAAAATTAGCCAGGCGTGGTGGCGCACAACTGTAGTCCCAGCTACTTGGGAGTCTGAAGCAGGAACAATTGCTTGAACCAGGGAGGTGCCACTGCACTCCAGCCTGGGCAACAGGGCGAAACTCCACCTCAAAAAAAAAAAAAAAAATTAAAAAATGGCTTCCTTTCCCTAACCAGAATCCCCACCCTGCTCTATCAACTCTCCTTCCTGGGAGAAGTATACTTCTCTACCCTATTAATGTTGAGCTCGTCCATGTGACTGGCTTTGGCCAATGGAATGTGTGTGGACATGACACACCAAATCTGAGTGGAGGCTTCAAATATGCTTACATGATTTGGCCTGGTTTCTCACGCTCCACCATCTGCCATGAGGAGCACCCCTATGAGCAGTAACTACTGCCCCAAGACCCTGGGGCTCTGGATGAGTCACATAATGGCAGACCTGAACTCAACCCACACTTACAGTAGACCCATTGCTAACAGACCACAGAATCATGGGCCAAAAAGTCAATGTTTGCTGTTGTAAGCTATTAAGATTGGGAGATGTTTGTTACTGTAGCAAAAGCTGACTATTACATGGCTCACTTCTTGTATTTGTGTGTGTGTGTGTGTGTGTGTGTGTGTGTGCATGTGTGTGTGACAGGGTCTTGCTATATCTACCACCCAGGCTGAAGTGCAGTGGTGTCATCACAGGTCACTGCAGCCTAGATCACTTGGGCTCAGCTGATCCTCCCACCTCAGCCTCCCAAGTAGCTGGGACCACATGCACACACCACCATGCCCGATTAGTTTTAAAAAGTTTTTTGTAGAGATAGGGTCTCGTTTTGTTGCCTGGACTAGTCTCAAATCCCTGGTCTCAAGCAGTCCTCCTGCAGCAACCTCCCAAACCATTGGGATTACAGGAGTGAGCCACTGCAATCAGCCAACTGCTAACTTCCCAGCATTGCTAAAAGAGTGTTTGCAGACATTTCTCATCCCTCTCCCAGTACCCTAGGAAGCTTCAAGCAATTTATTCCTCCTATGGAAATCACTTTCTGCCTGGGCATTCCTCCAGCAACTCCCACCTTCAGCCTGGCTTCAAGAGAACCTGGTACTAAAGAACAGTAGTAAAAGGGAGCATTGGTCAAAAAGGTCATTCTATGCCCTAGTTGCAGGTGACCCAACCAAATCCCACCCTCCTGAGGACAGACCACCTGACCCAAAGGGGACTCACATCATAGGTGACTTCCTCCACCTGGTCCTTCTCCATTAGAAACACTTTGGAGACCTGCTCACACGGGCCCTGGAGGATTCGGGCAATCAGCGGGTAATCAGTGGTCTTCAGCTTCTGTTTCTCTGCAATCACACACAACCAGGGGCAGCCCTGAGTTTGGCCTGAGGCCTTTCTCACATTAAGTACTGGTCAATGTAGGGGTTCAAATGGATCAGGCACCTTAAGAGATGCCACTGTATAAGTCAAGAGACTAATTTATAAATGAACTATTCCATAGATGTAAAAAGCAACCTCCTCCCACTCCCCTCCCCGCAACAGTACCACCATGCCTCAAACCCCTTGGAGAATTTGGGTTTATCTGTCTCTTGAGAAAATCTAGGTCCTTTTTGAATAGCCAGTTAGGTTTAGGATTTGTTTACTGGCCACAGAAGGCAATCCCTAGTGGACTCACACAGCAAGCCCATCAGCCTTGAAAGCAAACAACATTTGGAAGTTTCCAAAACCCAAACAACAAGCAAAGGAGGCAGACGTATTTTTTTAACTTGCTATTTCGAGATAATTAGAAGTTTTAAAGTACACTGTGGCCTTCAGACTTACCACCACTCGTATGGACCACGTACAAGGCAAACTCTTCTGCTGAGTTCTCAATCTGAAGCAGAACAAAAGATACTTACTGAAAGTATCTGTTTAAACATCCCAACTCTGAGCCTTTTTCTCTTCTTTAACAATGCAAAGCTAAGTATATTTTAGGCTGTTTTGAGGGGAGAGCTATTTATCTACAACTCTCAGAAGTGATGAGAAGATTGAGAAGGCAGATGAGTTTATCAATAATATAGTCACGCGCTTAACCAAGAGGAAGCATTCTGAGAAATGTGTCACTAGGCGATTTCATTGTTGTGCAAACATCACAGAGTGTACGTACACAAACCTGGATGGCACAGCCTACTACACACCTAAGCCATATGGTACAGCTATTACTCCTAGGCTACAAACTTGTACAGCATGCTACTATACTCAATGCAGTAGGCACCTGTAACACAACGGGAAGCATTTGTGTGTCTAAACATACGTAAACACAGAAAAGGTACAGTAAAAAACAGATTATAATCTTACAGGACCACCATCATATATGTGGTGTATCACTGACCAAATGGGTCGTTCTGTGGCACATGACTAGGATAGATAATAGCTGTTGTCTATTGCAATATGCCAGGCATAGTTCTACAAGTGTTAAAGGTTTGAACCCATCTAATGCTCCTGACAATACCATAGTGAGGTCCCATTATCCTCATTTTACGATGATGAAGCAGAGGCAGAGACAAGTGAAGCTGCCCGCCCCAATTCATCCAACTCACAGGTGCTCAGTGGAGATCTGAAGCCAGAGCCTGTGTTCTTAGGTTGCTAGGCTACACTGGCTTCCGTTAAATATAAGAATACCTGGTCTCCAAGAGATTGTGGAAAACATAGAGCAACAGGACTTTAAAAGCACTCCTGCACTATAATTTACACATCTATTTAAGTATCATATTTCATATTTCATATAAGTAGGTTTCCCAACTGTGTCCCAGAAGTCAATCTTTGCACTGAGCCCAAAACCAGTCATCAGGCCCCAGGGTCCTTCTAAAGTAGCCAGTAGCCCATAAAGGATTTGAGAGCTGATGTTTCTCAAACTTTGGTAGGCATCCGAACCCCCTACAGGCTTGTTAGATGGCGTCCCTGGCCTGCCCCTCACAATTTCTGATTCAGCAGGTCTGGGGTGGTGACTGAGAACCTGAATTTCTAACAAGCACCCAGGTGATGCTGATGCTGTGGACCTTGTCTTGGATCATGAAGATCTAAAGAACCCAAGCCCTCTGCCCAGCATCCCACAAACCATACAATTCCCATAGCTCCCCGCACAACCACTCTAGGGGTCCCAAGGCACAACTGTGACCCTAATTGTGGCCAGCCAGCAAAGGGAACTTGCCTTAAATTTGTTGAGCAGAAGCTTCAGGACCTGTGGGGTGGTCATGGTGCTATTGATGCGGACGTTGGTGACAGAGCCATAGGCTGGTGTGAACACGGATGTCTGTCGATAGAAGGGGCCAGCTCAGGATGGGAGTGGGAACAAGGACCCAGTGCTAAAATCCAGGTGCGGTACAGGGCACAGTGACGGTACTCACAATGTACCCCCTGGGAGCCCTCGGCAGCCTGGCAAGCAGCAGGCTTTACAGACAAAGCAGCCCTCAGGGTTTGCATAATTCAGTTCATGCTCCACACTCACAAAGACCCTTCTGCTGGGACTTCAGCACAAGGCTGTCTCTGACCATTTTCCCACCATGCTCTTCTCTCCAGGGGTAGGATTTGAACAGAGCAAGAGGAAAGGAGGGGTCAGCTATCTCGGGCAGGGTTGGTGGTGCACTGACACCCCCAGGACTGAGACCTGCAGCTCTGCTTCGGAAGCAGCGCTGAGCTCCAGGAAAAGCCAGACCATACACCAACGGGGGGCACAGTGTGTAGGAAGAGGGTATAACATGGATTTTCTTGCAAGGGACTGAGGAGCTGTGTTTATGGGGTCTTCAAGGCTACAGCAGGGACTGCTTTATATAGCGCCACTGAATTCACCCACCACCCTAGGGGGGAACCCACAGGAGGACTCTGAGCCTTCTGAGCTGAGGTCCCTCCACCTTCAGGAGCCAGCAGGGCTTGCAGCCCACCCACAACCCAAAGACTAAACAGCAGCACACACTTGGCTTCCCAGGCATTGCACCACCCACCACATGGCTGTAGCCCTGAAGTGGCAGCTACCCAGGAAGGGGTCCTCCCCCTCCCCTGTCCCCCCCGTCCACTTTACCTTATGGTTGTAGAAATGGCCATTGATGGAGAAGCGATGGCGTCTGATTCGCCGCTGGTCACTAGGTGTCCTCACATTGCCACGGCGACGCACCCCAACATCACTGCGTGTGCGCATCAGCTGTGGGGTGTCCTCCTGCATGGGCTTCAGGCCCTTGGAGTCTGAGAGAGGAGAGGCAAATGAGTTGTCTGTCTAGACCTGGGACATGGCACATGGTCCTCTCTTTGTGGCCAGTGCTATAGAACCCACTGTCTCCAAAACCATATATTTTATACAAATAGTATTTTCTGCTGGGGGAAGACATAATGCAGAATTTACAGAGAAGCTATACAGTGACAAATTCAGACAACACTTCAGATCCAGACTCCCTGGGTTCACATCCTAGCTCCATGATTGTCATATATCACTAACCTCTCCGTGCCTCAGTATTTTTATATATAAAATGGGGATGATAATAATATCCATCTCAGAGGATTGCTAAGGGTTTAAATGAGTTGATACACATAAAGTGCTTAGACTAGTGCCTGGCACAGGCAGGTAACAAGATACTGCGGACGAACTCTGACACATGCTACACACGATGAACCTTGAGGATGTTATGCTCCATGCAACAGGTCAGTTACAAGACAGCAAATACTGAATGATTCCAGCTATATGAGGTACTTAGAGTGTACCTCATATAAGTGTACATCATATAACTGAGGTACACTCTAAGTACCTTCTAGGTACATTCAAAATTACAGTGACAGAGAATAGAATGGTGGTTGCCAGAGGCCAGAGGGAAAGGATTTGGGGAGGTATTAGGAGTTTAACGGGTACAGAGTTTCAGTTTCACAAGATGGGAAGCGTTGTGGAGATGGATGGTGGTGATGGTTTACATTATGAGTGTATTTCACACCACCGAACTGTACACTTGAAATGGTTAAGATGGTAAATGTTATGTAGCTCTTACCACAATAAAAAAAATAGAAAAAATAATGCTTAATAGAGCATACATATAAAAATATATGGGGTTCCCGTGGCCTATTTCTATCTTGTATGTATATAAATATAAAATATTGACATTAATCGTAAGTAGATTAATCTGATCTTATTAAAATATATTTAATCCATGTTATCTAAAAAAGATTTTGCAAACTGACAATATCTATGAAAATTTAAACCCAGAAATTCCACTTGAGAATCGTACGTGCTGACAAATGTGTGACATGACACATGTATAAGGCCACCGACTGCAAACTTGTCAGAGCAGAGACTGAAAATGACTTAACTGTCTACCAAAAAAGAGTGATGACATAAATTATGCTTTTTCCATACAATGAAATAATGCAGAGCTGTAAAAAAGGAGGAAGTTCTTCATAAATTTGTAAGGAAAAGTTCCCCAGATAAACTGATCCATGAAAACGAATGTGCAAAATGCTACCACTTGCAGAAACAGGGAAAGAAAAGAGACTACATCTGACCGGGAGCAGTGGCTTATGCCTATAATCCCAGCACTTTGGGAGGCTCAGGTGGGCAGAGCACTTGAGGCCAGGAGTTCAAGACCAGCCTGGCCAACATGGCAAAACCCTGTCACCACTAAAAATACAAAACTTACCTGGGATTGGTGCACATGCCTTTAATCCTAGCTACTCAGGAGGCTGAAGAGGGAAGGTCACTTGAACCCGGGAGGCACAGAGCCAAGATTCATGAAGAAAGGAAGGAAGGAAGGTAGGAAGGAAGGAAGAAGGGAGGGAGGGAGGGAGGGAGAGAAGGGAAGGACAGAAGGGGAGGGAGGGAAGGAGGGAGAGAGGAAATGGAAGAGGGAGGGAGGGCAGAAAAACTACATCCACCCATAAAGGTATGTCGATGTGTTTTGCCTATATTTGGATAGACTACCTCAGGAAGGATGTTCTTGGGATGCTTCTAGGTGGGTGGATAAGGTGGGTGACTTCATTCTCTCCCTTTGAATCTTGAAGCATATACATTTTAAATTCTCAAAAATAATTAACAGTTTATACCATCTACCACAGCGGTCTTCACATCGTTGGTCCCTAGCTGGAAGCACCTTTCCCCACACATGTACCTGTGGGGCTTGGCATCTGGTCACCCTCCGGCGGCCCATCCACCTCTGAGATCTGAACGTTGGGCACAGTCAGGGGCTTCAGGACGGTTCTGGGGGTGGAGAAGACAAAGGCGAGAGGAGAGACGAGTTTAACCCCTGTGGAGAGATGCCCCACACCCGCCGGACCCCACTCCTGCAAGGGGAGAACTTTGCTAGTGCCAGGCTGGGTACTGGCACACATCAGGTGATGAAGGGTGCAGATGGGCTGCGCCAAGCATCCCATGAGGCTGGCCCAGCTCCCAGGCCAAGCAGTGGGTGGAGCGGGGGGAGTTCTGGAGGGAGAAGATGTTCTTTTCCAGCATCTGCAGCAACACACGCATCCACTTCATCAAGCCCAGGATGGATACCAAAGAACAAAACCCATGTGCTGCCCGCACTGCTTCTAAGCATGTATGGGTTCTGTGGCTTATTTGGAAAACTCCAACAATAGCCATTTGTTTTGCAGGGTAAGATTCCAGTTCAGACTCATTGCTGTTGAAGAAATAACTCATAACTGCTTCTGGCGTTGAAAAGGAATGGAGAGTAACAGGTTGGCCACTACAAGGGCCGGGGCAGCTTTGGAAGGGACACTCTCAGTACTCTCAGGGTTGCAAGGATGGAGTCCTCAGCCAAGCTGAAGAAAGGGTTATGAGGAGGCAGTCCAAGCTGAGACCCTGGTTTGCCATCATAACTGGCAAATACCTTGTCGAAGCCAAAAAGGACAAAGAGAGCAGCTCAGAAAAACATTCAAAATCAACAAAGGATTTGGCTGGAAAGGAGAATCATATTTGACCAATGAGGACCAACCCATGGTGAGAAGAGCATGGGCTCCCTGGGGCCCAGGAGAGATAAACTTCATGTTCTGGGTAGGACTGTTTTAAGGGAGGACAATTAAAATGGAAACTGTAAAAGAACTTCCTACTGTAATTTAACTCATATACTTCTGAGCCACAAAATAGACCTGGCCAGAGCCTCTGGGGAGTGGTGAACCCTTGGCACCAAGAGCAGCCACTCCCCACTCCCTGATTTAAAGCCCTCACTCTTGCTGAAGTAGGAACTGGTCTCAGTATCCTTGGCTTTTTTTTTTTTTTTTTTTTGGCAGAGGTCCGGGGCAGAGTCTCTGTCACCCAAGCTGGAGTGCAGTGGCGTGATCTTGGCTCACTGCAATCTCTGCCTCCCAGTTCAAGTGATTCTCCTGCCTCAGCCTCCTAAGTAGCTGAGATTACAGTCATGCACTGTGCCCAGCTTTATTTATTTATTTATTTATTTATTTATTTATTTATTTATCTGTAGAGTCAAGCTGGTCTCAAAACTCCTGAGCTCAAGTGATCTGCCCACCTCGGCCTCTCAAAGTGCTAGGATTATAGGTGTGATCTGCCATGCCCAGCCTCAGGATCTTTCTACAGACAGCAGTCTAGGCATTCACTTTATTATAGCTGACATCTAAAGGACATCATTTACCATTCCTGAAAATTCTACCAAAGTATTTTTCAGGTTTCAAGAGTCAACCAAAACCAGCCTGATACCACAGAGAGGGGAGAAGGAGCAGGCGGAGTGAAAGAGCCCTTGGCAGCCCAAACCAAAGGCAGTAGGGCCAAATGAAATCTTCAAAGTCATCTCACTTAGGGAATAGAATATAAGTGTGGGGTCAGGGTCAGGCTGTGAAATGGACACAGCCATTGGAAATCAAACACAGCCATAATGCTGGGCATGGTGGCTCACAGCTATAATCCCAGCACTTTGGGAGGTCATGATGGGAGGATTGTCTGAGGCCAGGAGTTTGAGACCAACCCGGGCAACATAGTGAGACCCCATCTCTACAAAAAATACAAAACTTAGCCAGCTAGGGCCGGGTGTGGTGGCTCATACCTGTGGTCCCAGAACTTTGGGAGGTCAAGGCAGGTGGACAGCTTGAGGTCAGGAGTTTGAGGCCAGCCTGGCCAACATGGCGAAACCCCCTCTCTACCAAAAAATACAAAAATTGGCTGGGTGTGGTGGTGGGCACCTATAATTCCAGCTATTCAGAGAATCGCTTGAACCCAAGAGGCAGAGGTTGCAATGAGCCGAGATTGCACCACTGCAATCCAGCCTGAGCAACAGAAAAAAAAAAGACAGGGGGGTATGCACCTGTAGTCCCAGTTGCTGGGGAACCTGAGGCGGGGGAATCACTTGAGCCTGGGAGGTTGAGGCTGCAGTGAGCTGTGAATATGCCACCGCACTCCAGCCTGGGAAACAGAGGAAGACCTTGTCTCAAACAAAACAAAACAAAAACACAGTGATAGCGCTGAAAGCAAAGCAGAGCATGAAACCAGCAAAGTTAGATGAAACCAAAGAGCGTGAACCAGACACCTAGCGCCTATGGGGTGGGCAACAATTTTCCTCCTTAAATCCCCTTGGAAAGAAACCAGACCAGCTCCAGGGTTTGGCCACATAGTAGGGTTCTTTCAATCGTAGAGAAACGTAGATTTGGCCGTGGAGTTTAGCAAAGTGTTCAATGTGGCCAACAGACATGGTTTGGTTCTCATTTAAACCAGAAAAAAAAAAAAAGGTCACTGTGGTTTTGGCCGAGAGGGAAGCATACTCCACCCAGGCTGGGGCCGAAGGCAGTCAGCATCAGCAGGTTTCAGGATGGAGCCAGGCTAGTCACTTGATCCTAAAACTCAAGCCCCAGAAAGACAATAAAGAGGGCGTTCAGTGGTGTATTCAGTGGCTTACTCAGCCATGGAGGATAACAACGGACAGCGCAAGTCTTCCCGGCGCTTCTGGTGGGGACTTGGACTCCCCACCATCATACCACGCCCTGGCTCCCCCTGTGGTCTGCAGGGAGCACACCCCTGGCTGATCTCGCTTGGCTGACTCTGACAGAGCCTAACATTCCTTTTCCTCTTCCAGTTTCCCCAACATTCAGAGAGCTTTGGTCAAAAGGTTCAAGTCGTAAATGCTTTGGAGCAGGCCATTCTGAGGAGTGGTCCCAGTGCAGAGGATGTTGGAGCATGGGGTGCCCTGTTAGAAATCTGCAAGCTGGGCCTCACCAGCCACTAGCAACTCCGCTTAGAGCTCTCCCTGAGGGAGGACTCGGTGACTCAGCAGCTCCCCTCCTGTGACCTCATCAGTGATTGTGGTGACAGGAAGGGGGCCCAATCACAACCACATCTGCCCCTGTTCCTCATTCCAAGCCCAAGGCAGGTGGAGAGTAAAGGCGGTAGGAGGAGGAACCAGGATCAGGGCTGGAGAGAAGAAGGCAGCATGTATCTGCTTGAGACACATAGAACCCCCAGGCATGCTGGTCATCTCCCGGCCCCAGCTCTCCTCACTCACCCCTGAGCCCCCAGGTTACAGCCAGAGTGCCAGGAGGAAGAGGACGGAGGGGGCCGAATGCGCTCATTGTCATCCTGCATCTGCAGGCGGATGGGCCGGCGTAGGCCCCAGGAGATGTTCAGGAGCCCCTCCACGATGAACTCATCTTCTTCCTGCCCACAAAGCAATGGGGGTGGTGAGCCCAGGAAAGTCCCCACAGAAGCCAAGACCGTGCTGAAGGACAAATGACACATTCTTCATATGTCCTAGCTGGGTGCCCCCAGTTTGTATTCACAGGATGGGGGCAGCTGCCCAGTTCACACCCCAGCTCGGAACACTTTCTCCCAGCCCTGAAGCTGACCTCACAGATCAGCACAAAAGTTGCCTTGAAATTCAAATACATATGTGCAAATTATAAAAGCATGTTTTTTTTTTTTTTTATCCTAATGACTTTTAAAGAAAGCAGAACACATGTCTTAAAAGAAGTGAGACTAGCCTTGCTAACAGAAACAAGAACTGAATGCTTGAGTTAGCTACATCCCGTCCCCTACTACGGAAAAAGATGTCTCTTGAGCTATAACATGTGTTGAGCAATCCAACCTGGTGGTTGAAGGAAACTTAAAGCAACACTTCCCAAAGTTTATTCTACAGAACACCGGCTCCTCTAGCAGATGAACTGTTGTCTTTAAAAGGGTGTCAAGTGATCATGAGCTGGGAGAGGCTGTGCTAATCAGATTTCCTAACAGCAGACTGTCCCAGGTTCTGTAATAAACTAACAGGCTACATGACAACTCTCCAGCAGGTGAATAAATTTTGCAGGAGTCCCTAATTTATACTCAAAGGTTGCTGACTAATTAGAAGTTAAACATAAAACCATTCTAAGGCCTAAGTTTAGATGTTCTATCGCAAAGAACTGGGACTCATGACTATGAAATCCTTTAATCACGGAGCACTTTTAACAGGAAAGCTATTTAAGAACGAAAATCTGGCATAGCCCTGCTACTGATTAGTAAAAGCTTGGAGGGAAATCCCTAAAAGAATCAGCTCTCCTCTCCCTAGTCTCAGAAAAATCTTTCTGAACCCATGTTTTATGGGCTGATCAAGTGTCAGATCTGGGTCATGGCCACATCTTCAGGACAAGCCCCATACATGAAAATGACATCAGCCCAATGAGCAACTCACTTGGTCCCCAAAATCATCCTCAAAGAGGGAGGAAGGTATAAAAGAGGGCAGGAGAGACATGAAACAATTTTAGGGCACTTAGGAGTCTTGGGGAGAAAAGCTTCATGTAAACATAGGCAACTTACATGGCCTTCCCCTGGTCAAGTTGGGCATCATTATTTTACACAATTGTAGGTCAAAATTTAACCCAAAACAGGATTTTGTCTAAGTGGAGTGGTTTGAAGGACACGGAATAGGCCACTACATCCCATGCACGGTCCCCAAGCAACCTGCCCTAGCAGCTGAAATTCCACCATCTGTTATCTGTATCTATGGATTAAATCGACACAGCTTGATAACCTGAAAGTGTGTTTCAAAGGGCATTACACATATGGACCTTTTTATCAGTCAAGAGTGCTTGAGTATAAAGTGCTCTATCAGACTGCTTTATAACTCATCATCTATCTGATAACAGCCTTTAGAGAAATGGATACAGGAAGAGCAAGCTCACTTTCGGGATGGGGCCCAGATGAATAACAAAGGCAACCTAGGATGACCAAGTGTGGGGACAGGCCGAGTGCTACCATCCTGAGCTTGTGTGCTTTGCCCAGGTCACTGCAGTGATAGGACTTGGGCCCAGATGTTTAAACACAGAGGACTGGGGTTCCCGGATTGCCCGATGAGAGGGAGTCTGCCTGGGAGCTACCTGGAAAGGTCACTTCATGAAAGCTCCCTCTGGAGAATCTCCCCCATGAGACTGGGCTAGCCCAGCCACACATCTACAAGAATGTCTCTGGAACACATCTCTGAAACCTTCATCCTTTTTAGAATAAAACTGGGCCTGGAGTCTTCTTCCAAAGAACCCAAGGACTCTCACTAGCATCTTAAATGAGAAGCAGGAGAGGCAGGGATCTCTTGGGACCTCAGGGACCTTCAGACCCAGGACACATGGTGACAAGGCCAGTCAGGGCCTTCCCTGAAGACTCCTCACCTCCCGGTGCCGGAGCTGTAAATTCTGGCCTTCATAGTATAAGTTGTAGGTCTTCAGATGCAAGAGAAGTTCATTTCTTAGGAGGAAAAATACAAGAGATATAACATTATCAGCTGAAGCCACTTACTATGCAGTTGTTCCCTCTTTCACCTCTCACCTGGCCTTCGGTCACCCCACTTTGGGCGTTTGTCCACATGTACATACACACACATGCACACGCACACAGGGTTCTGCCGCCACTGCCCCATAACCATCTTCCCCCAGGATCAAAGTCAAGAGTGAGCACCACCCCAGAACAAGGCTGAATGTAAGGAGCAACTCCAGGGCGCCGAGGCGGACATTGGCGGCAGCACTCCCAAACCTAGCTGAATGAGCAGGTGTCAAGAAGCCACCGATGAACTGAGACAAGCACCTCAGAGCCCACAGACCGCGATTCTCCTGCCTGGCTGTGGCCTCTTCTCCCTCAAGCACGCTGTGAGTGAGGAAAGGACAATAACAAAAAGCCTGCACAAGACTCAGAAGCTGGCCAGGCGTGGTAGCTCATCCCTGTAATCCCAACCCTTTTGGAGGCCGAGGCCAGTGGACCACTTGGTTAGGAGTTCAAGAGCAGCCTGGCCAACATGGTGAAACCCCGTCTCTACTAAAAATACAAAAAATCAGCCAGGCGTGGTGGTGCACGCCTGTATTCCCAGCTACTCAGGAGGCTGAGGCAGGAGAATCACCTGAACCTGGGAGGCAGAGGTTGCAATCAGCTGAGATCACACCACTGTACTCCAGACTGGGTGACAGAGTGAGACTCTGTCAAAAAAAAAGAAAGTAAGAAAAAAAACAGGAAAAAAAAAAGACTCAGAAGCTTCCAGGCTATTCAGAAGCTAAACAGGACAGGTTTGAGCTACAGTAACCTATGCTTCATAGAGATGACCTCATCATGTGTTTAAAAACTTGCAAACTCCCATCAACAGCAGAATGGGTGAATAAAGGAAGCAATAGCCACACAACAGAATACTATCAGCGAAGAGAATGCGAATGAACTACACGCCTGTGGATGACTCTCATGGGAATTATAAGATATGTGCTTTTTCTTAAATCTAGCTTCTTTCACAAAAAAGCAAAAAGAAAGACACAAGAAAAACATATCATATTCCATTGATACAAAGTTCAAAATAGGGCGTTAGAATTCAGGATAGTGGTTCACCTTAGGGAGTAGTGACAAGAAGTGGACATGAGGCGGCTTCCAGGCCCTGCAATACTTTTTCAATTCATAAAATTAGGGCAGGGAGCAGTGGCTCATGCCTGTAATCCCAGGCCTTTGGGAGGCTGAGGTGGGCGGATCACGAGGTCAGGAGATTGAGACCATCCTGACTAACACAGTGAAACCCCATCTCCACTAAAAATACAAAAAATTAGCCAGGCATGGTGCCAGGCAGCTGTCGTCCCGGCCACTCAGGAGGCTGAGGCAGGAGAATCGCTTGAACCCAAGAGGCGGAAGTTGCAGTGAACCAAGATCGAACCATTGCACTCCAGCCCAGGTGACAGAACCGGACTCCATCTCAAAGAAAAATAAAAAATAAAAAAAAATAAACCCTTAGAAACTCACCCTCTGAAGTCTGGTTCTGGGCTTCCTTAGCCACCCGGTTTTCCAAGTGGCTGCCGTAAGTCCAGCTCTACTGCAGATGGCCAGAGAGGAGGTTTCACCTTCTTTTTGATCAGGGAAATCCCTCATCAACCCTGAGAATGCACGAGTCAAGTTTCATCTAAAAGTGGGTGTTTTCTACTCCATGTGGGATGAGGGGGAGAGGGGTGGAGGGGGTCAGGGTTGCTGTGTGCCTTTGTTTAGTCTAAGGTAAGAGTTGACAGAGTTCTGCCCCTCTGAACCCAGCCATTCAGTGGAGAGATTTGGGACCATGCCAGGAGTCAAAACCCACTGGAAATGCCAAGAAACTCCTGACAAGTTAAACCTAGATAGATCAGCATGATTCTATGCAAGCTGAAATGAATTCGTGGAAAATGCGATTCCAAATAACCTAAGACAAAAAGCTGTTTGGTACTTTTGAACACACAGATCTGAAACTGGGAGAGAAAATCACTGGTTGGTAGAAGTCCCTGGGGATATCTGCCCATAAAGAGATAAGAATGGTCAGATGTTACAAAACATGTTCACGCCTGTAATCCCAGCACTTTGGGAGGCTGAGGCGAGTGGATCATGAGGTCAGAAGATCAAGACCATCTGACTAACACGGTGAAACCTTGTCTCTACTAAAAATACAAAAAAATAGCTAGGTGTGGTGGCAGGTGCCTGTAGTCCCAGCTACTTGGGAGGCTGAGGCAGGAAAATCACTTGAACATGGGAGGCAGAGGTTGCAGTGAGCAGAGACTGTGCCACCTCACTCCAGCCTGGGCAACAGAGTGAGACTCTGTCTCAAAAAAAAAAAAAAAAAAAAAAAAAGTGTCAAGTGTGTCTGAGGACTTAAAACAATTTAATCTCAGATAAATTAAATGTTTAATTAAGATAGAGAAATCCTAGCTGGGCACAGTGGCTCACGCCTGCAATCCCAACACTTTGGGAGGCCCAGGCAGATGGATCACTTGAGGTCAGAAGTTCGAGACCAGCCGGACCAACAAGGTGAAACCCTGTCTCTACTAAAAGTACAAAAATTAGCTGGGTGTGGTGGCACAGGCCTATACTCCCAGCTACTCAGGAGGCTGAAGCAGGAGAATCGCTTGAACCCAGAAGGCAGAGGTTACCATAAGCCAAGATGGCTCCACAGCACTCAAGCCTGGGTGACGGAGGGAGACGCCTTCTCAAAAAAATAAATGAATAAATAAATAAAAAGAAAAAGATACGGAAATCCCTATGCTGGACATAAAAATATGTCCTTGAACTTCTAATTCAAGGGTCTCTAATTTTCCATTAGCAAAAAGCCTGAGCTTAAGAGCCTTTAGTGCATAGAAAGCAATTAAATTGTCCCCTTCTATTCAGAGGCACCTGTGCCAATTTTAGCCAGAACCAGAGCAGCCCAGGGACACGCTACCCCAGCCAGGACTCCCCGGGAACACCACAGACAGGACAGAGAGCAATGTCTAAGTCTGTTCTGGCTGCCGTACCACACCCTGGGTGGCTTCTAAAGAACAGAAATTCACTTCTCACAGCTCTCTGGCCAGGAAGTCCAAGGTCAAGGTAGAGTCGGTGTCTGATGATAGCTCTCTCCTCACAGACAGTGCCTTCTCACTGCGTCCTCACACCGTGGAAGGAAACACAAGCTCCCTTGGCCTCTTTTATAAGGGTGCTTAGATCTAATCAGAGCTCAGAGGTCCCAGCTCTTATACCATCACCTTGCCGTTAAATTTCCACATAGGAATTTGGGGGGGGACACAAACATTCAGAAGATAACGAACAGCCACCAGCCAACTCCTCCTCCTAGAAGCCTTCCAGGACACCACACCTTTTGAGCCCCCAACAGTCTTGACTTCCCGTTTACTTCCCCTCCAGGCCGGGCTCCGGGGCATGTTTTTATCTCTGGCAGCAGCCCTGATGCTCTCACAAGCCCAAGTTCAGCTTGACTCCTTCCCACACACAGGAGCCCCGCCAGTCTGACACACAGGGGAAGCCCCTGCCAGTGGCTGCCGTCCACCCCCAACACCCCAGCAGGGGACTGGCCACTGAGGACACAATACTCCAGCAAAATGTCTTACTTGGAAATGTATTTATCTTGTCCACATGGGACTAGGGACGTTTGGTGACTGTAATCCATTCTTCCTTTCTCTTTTCATCGGAAGGAGAGGCCTGTATTTGGAAGGAGAAGACAGACGTTTAAGTCAGGTTGTATCCTTGGGAACTGAGCAGATCTTGGGGTGGAGAGGGGGCACAATGCTGGACACCATGGTTCTCCATTCCTCCCCACCCAGATCCCGGCTAACACTGACCCAAGGCTATGAGAGGCAACACTGCTGACTGCTTCCTCGGCTGGCCACAGCCTCTGAGAATAAACATCCAGAGGAAAGACAATCCAAACACAAATGTCCCAACTACAGAGCACACTGACACCCTTGCTGGTTCCAAGGATGCCTGGTGAGTCCTCCTCTCTGAAGAGACCGACTCAACACAGAGTAGACCTATCTCGGGGACAGCCTGATTGTACTGAAGTCTGCTGGGGATGGGTAAACCACCTAAAAATGCCCAAATGCAGCTGAGCCCGAGAAATCACAGCATGTGTCTACAGTTGCCACTAAAATATAACAATATGAAAGACAATTTAATTATAACAATACATTATAAAAACACAGGTAACAAAACTATCAGTCCAATTTTGTTTAAAATCTATGTAAGTATAAAATATGCATATACATACACACATTTACATGTATAAATATTCAGATCAGTATTATATGTCAGGATTCTTAACCTTGGCACTATTACCATTTGTTTTGTTTTGTTTTTCTGAGACAGAGTCTCGCTCTCTTCGCCCAGGCTGGAGTGCAGTGACACAATCTCAGATCGCTGCAACCTCCATCTCCTGGGTTCAAGCGAGTCTCTTGCCTCAGCCTCCTGAGTAGCTCAGATTACAGGTGCCTGCCATCATGCCTGGCTAACTTGTGTTTTAGTAGAGAGGGGGTTTCACCATGTTGGCCAGGCTAGTCTCGAACTCCTGACCTCAGGTGATCTGCCCGCCTCTGCTTCCCAAAGTGCTGGTGTGAGCCACCATGCCCAGCCACATTATTACCATTTGGAGCTGGCCCATTCTTTTTTTATTTCTACTTGTAGAGATGGGATGTCCTTTTGTCACCCAGGCTGGGAGTGCAGGGGCATGATCATAGCTCACTGCAGCCTCAAATCCCTGGGCTCCATCGATTCCTCCCCCGCCCACTGTCTCAGCCTCCCGAGTAGCTGGGACTACAGGTGTGCCCCACCACCCCTGGCCTTGGACTGTTCTTTGTTGTGGGGCTGTCTTGTGCATTGCAAATGTTTAGCAGCAAGCAGCATCACTCCAGTGATGACAACCAAAACTGTTGCCAGACACTACTAAGTATCCCTGGGGCAAAATCACATTATTTACAATAGCCAAAAGGTGGAATCAACCCAAGTGTCCGCTGATGGATGAGCAGATAAGCAACACGGAGGAAGCATCCAACAGAATATTATTCAGCCTTCAAAAGGAAGGAAATTCTGACACATGGCAGAACATGGGTAAATCCCGAAGACATTATGACAGGCCACACCCAAAAAGAAAAATACTGTATGATTCCACTTTTATGAGACACCTAGAGGAGTCAGAATCAGAGATTGATTCTGTAGAATTGCGGTTCTTCAAAAAGTGGAATGGTGGTTGCCAGGAGCTGGGAGGAAGGGGGAATGGAGAGTTGCTTAATGGGTACAGAGTGTGCAAGATGAAGAGAGTTCTGGAGACAGAAGGCCATGATGGTTACACAACACTGAAGGTACTTCTTGCCACTAAACTGTACACTTAAAAATGGTTAAGATGGTAAACTTGATGTGTATTTTACCATTATATACGTGTGTGTGTGTGTGTGTGTGTGTGTGTATTTTTTTGAGACAGGGACTCACTCTGTCACCCAGGCTAGAGTGCAGTGGTATAATCTCAGCTCACTGCAGCCTCGACCTCCCCAGGCTCAGGTGATCCTCCCACCTCAGCCTCCTAAGTAGCTAGAACTAAAGGCATGTGCCACTATGCCCAGCTAGTTTTTTCCATTTTTAGTAGAGATGGGGTTTCGATTAAATGAAGACTCAAGCAATCTGCTTGCCTTGGCCTCCCAAAGTGCTGGTATTACAGGTGTGAGCCACCACACCCAGCCCACAATATATTTTTTAAGTGGAGGAGGAAGACATAGATGCCAGTATTATAGTGACAAAATGTGAGAAGGATTGGACCTTCTGGAAGAAGGATCCATCATCTAACGGACATGAACAGCCTCTAGAAGCTGGAAAAGCAAGAAAACGGACTCGCCCTAGAGTCTCCAGAAAAGAACACATCCCTGTTGATACCGTGATGTTAGCCCAGTGAGATTCATGTCAGACCTTTGAACTACAAAACTGTGAGATAATCAATTAGTGTTGGCCAGGCATGGTGGCTCATGCCTATAATTGCAATACTTTGTGAAGCCGAAACACGAGGATCACTCGAGGCCAGGAGTTCAAGACCAGCCTGGGCAATATCAGGAGACTCCTGTCTCTACAAAAAAAAAAAATTTTTAAGTTAGTTGGATGTGATGGCAAGCATCTGTAGTCCTAGCTACTTGGGAGTCTAAGGTAGGAGGATTGCTTAACCCCAGGAGCTCAGTGCCGCAGTGAGCTATGATCATATTGCTGCACTGCAGCCCGGGCAACAGAGTAAGACCTTGTCTCTAAAAAAAATAATAAAATAGCTGGGTGTAGTGGCTCACGCCTGTAATCCCAGCACTTTAGGAGGCCGAGATGGGTGGATCACCTGAGGTCAGGAGTTCGAAATCACCCTGATCAAGAAGGTGAAACCCCATCTCTTTAAAAAAAAAAAAGAAAGAAAGAATAATAAAATAAGGCCAGGCTCAGTGGCTCAGACCTGTAATTGTAGCACTTTGGGAAGCTGAGGAGGAAGGATCACTTGAGCACAGGAGTTCAAGACCAGCCTGTGCAACACAGGGAGATCTCATCACTACAACAAATACATACCTCTGGTCCCAGCTACTAGGGAGGCTGAGGCAGGAGGATAAATTGGGCCCAGGAATTCAATGCTGCAGTGAGCCACAATCATGCCACTGCACTCTATCCTGGTTGAAAGAGTGAGAACATCTCTTAATTAATTAAATAAAATAATAAAATTAAAATAAATTAGTGTTGTTTTCAGTTACTACGTTTTGGCAGCTTGTTACTGCAAGTGACCACGGGCTGATTCCATTCAGAAAACTGAGATGCTACCAGCGGACCCGAAAGTGGTACCCTGGGAATACAACGCATCTCTCGAAATTTTAAATTTTATTTTATTTTTTTACTTGTCCAAAAAGGAAGAATAATCTGATCATGAAAACCGGAGTACACACGTAATACAGAAAAAGAAAAAAAGGGAAGTCAGGCTAGTGAGAAAGCTTTTCTTTTTTAAGTGATAGTGACCCATAACTAGGGAGTGCCCCTTTTTCTACAAAGGTGCCCCTTCTACACATGTGTAAATTGACACATTCAACAAGCATTTATTGTGTGTCTACAATGTATTAAGCATCGTGCTTCCCGATGGTGGCACAGCAGCCAAGGAAACAAACCAGGCATGTGGAGGAGGGGAATGCGGGGGGCAGAGGGCTCTGTCAAGGGAGGGTGAGTGCTATGGTGGCCAACAGGAAGGATGCCTGTGGGTGAGCGCAGGGTCCTGGGGGACTTTCTGGAGGCGGAGACCTCTAAATGGAGACTTCAGTGTTGGCAAAGATGAGGGGTAAATGGGTCCAGGCAGAAAGCGCAGGCATCTCAGAACTGTGCGAGACAGAGTGGCACCAGCAGAACCCAGGCCTGGTGAGGAGTCTGGACTTCAGCTGGTGGGCGATGCTGGGCCATGTGAATGTGAAGGATGAAGAACGGTCCCCAGAGGTACCCAGGTGCAGACCCTGGAACCTGTGAATATCACCGTACATGGAAACAGGGAGTCTGTGGATGGGATTAAATGAAGGATCTTGACATGAAGAGACTATTCTGGATTATCTGGGGGGCCCTAAATGGAACTACTGGTGTTCTTATAAGGCGGAGGCTCTGCTGCACACAGCAGAGAGGAGGTGACGGGACAGCAGCAGCAGAGGGAGAAACGTGCAGATGTCGCACTGTGGACGAAGGCGGAGGAGGGGGCCACAAACCCAGAAGACAGCTCACAAGCTGGGAAAGGCAAGGATACGGATTTGCCCCAGAGCCCCCCAGTGCAAGCAGAGCCCTACCAACCCCTTAGTTCTGGGCCAGCGAAACTGGCCTCGAAACTTCTGGACTCCAGAATATGAGTATTAAATTTCTGTTGTTTTAAACCACCAAGACCAGCGGGGCGCGGTGGCTCACGCTTGTAATCCCAGCACTTTGGGAGGCCGAGGCAGGCGAATCACAAGGTCAGGATATCAAGACCATCCTGGCCAACTTGGTGAAACCCCGTCTCTACTAAAAATACAAAAATCAGCAGGGCGTGGTGACGAGCGCCTGTAATCCCTGCTACTTGGGAGGCTGAGGCAGGAGAATTGCTTGAACCCTGGAGGTGAAGGTTGCAGTGAGCCAAGATCACGCCACTGCACTCCAGCCAGGGCAACAGAGTGAGAATCCATATCAAAAAATAAATAAATAAACCACCAAAACCTTAGTCATTTTTTTTTCAGCAGCAAGAGGAAAACAAGGGGAATTCCAAGGGGAGGGATAAGATCTGATACACGTTTTTGAAAGGTCACCCACCCAACGCCTTGCTTTGTGGACAAATAATCTGGGAGAAGAGTTGCCAGGGGGACCAGTTGAGAAGCCAGAGCCTGAGTTGGAGAGACAGAGTCTAGAGAGTTTGAAGAGGTAGAGGGAAGTCGTGAGGCGTTAATGAAATTTAGGGAAAGGGAGTGCTGCTGGATGAAACGTGAGGTGACAGGCAGAGTCTTGGCGATGCACGGGCTGCTGGTGAACCACAACGTAGGCAGAGGTGCCACCTTCGGGGTCACTGATGCGAGGACCAGGGCTGAGTTTCAGGCAGGCCTATGGAAACTCCCGGTGCCGATAACCAGAAGTACAGCAGGCCTGAGGCCCAGGAGAGCAATTCCTGGCACGTGAGGTCAAGGGAGGGGACGAGGGCA